TGTAAGATCCTTCCTGGTTCCCAAGGATCTACTTCCTCTTTTTTCTCTTCCACAAATTATTTCTGTGTCTAGATTCCCAATCTCAGAGACGCTCAGTTGTTGTTGCTTCATTTTCTCAGAGTTGCCTCGCCCTTTATCTTTCAAGAAAGATCTACTCTCAGAACTCGATTCATCTCTCCCAGGATCACTTATTTCAGCTGGGATATTCCTTCAGGCATGCATCCTGGAGACTCAAAACTCAAGGAAGGAGGAATCTGGACTCTGGCCTTCACTAGGTGGAAGAGTTATCTGCAGAGTGTGCAGAAGCAACAAGACTACAGCTCACTTATAATACAGCGCACAAAATAAATACCAAAGTACTATTATTTATTGTGGTCATTAGTTTGGGGAATGTAAAATGTGCCAATTTTATATCTGTGTGTATATTCAACCATCCATATCTGTGGATTCCTTATCTGCATATTCAATCAAAGGTGGACAAAGTAAAAAACCAAAACAAATTGTACCTGTACTGAACACTTTCAAACTCCTTTTTATGGATTATTCCATAAACAACATAACAACTATTTCTACAGCATGTACAGTGTAGTAGGTATTATAAGTAATGTAGAAATGATTTAAAGTATATATCATAAGATGTATATAGGTTATATGCAATCACTATTGACACTTCATATATAGGATTAGAACATTTGCAGATTTTGCTATCTAAGGGAGGTCCTGGAAACAGTCCCTCAAGGATACCAAGCAACCACTGACTATATAAATGAGATTTAAAGGAAAGTAAAAGGGAAGCTGGAAATAAGATATGTTCTATCTCTCTACATATATACACACATGTATGTGTATACTTTGCCATTATTCATCCTTTTAAATACTGTTTTACACACCTGTGGTGATATTTTAAAATATGAAGTATTTTATTTTATTTTATTTTATTTTACTTTTTTTTGGTTTTGGTTTTGGTTTTTCTCCGGTACCGGGAACCGAACTCACGACCTTGCACTTGCCAGGCAGGCGCTTTTGCCGCTGAGCTAAATCCCCAGCCCCTGAAGTATTTTATTTTTAATGAAATTCCAATGTATTTGAACCTCATTTTAGCCTATTGACTGTTAAGACTTTTCTTACAAAAATTAAATTTACTGTATATGAAAGTATGTAATATATGCAATTGTAGGGTAAGTGTTGCATATTAAATCTACCTACATGAAAACATATTTAAATGATGTAAATAACCTTCCCTTTTTCTGGTTCACTCATTCATGCTTTAACACTGGACAAAACCAGCTGCCCAGGTAGCCCCCGTGGGAAAGGTGATGGCTGACTGTGATGGTGAATTTTGCATCAACTTGGCTGAGCTACTAAACCAACATTTGGCCACTTCATTCTGGATGTTTCTGTGAAGGTATTTTTTGTTTTGCTTTTTAATGAGATTTACATTTAAAGTGGTGAATTCTGTCCTCAGACATGTGGGTGGGCCTCATCTAAACAGCTGAAGGTTTCAAAAGAACAAAGACAGACCTGCCCCTAGCTAGTAGGAATTCTGCCAGCAGACTGCCTTTGGACTCAGACTATACATCTTCCCTGGGTCTCCTGCCTGCTGGTCTTCCTGAAGATGGACACACCAAACCTCCACAACCATGTATGCTAACACCTTCCCACAAATATCTTTACATATTAAGTACTGGTCTTGTTTCTCTGGAGAATCCTAACTTTTATGGCTTTTGTCTGTATGTACCCCCAAAGCTTCTCTATCTGCAGAGACCTTCCTCTGGTTCTTCTGTTTCTCTCAGCCCATCCTGACACTGTATAGAAAATCCAACCCAACCCAGCCCTCTGGCCTTGAAGAACTCAGTAGATGTACAACCCAGACATCCATTGGGCCCTCTCCCTCCTGCCTAAGAGGACCCTGAGACTCTGAAATCCAATTATTCTGTCTGACTTGATAAACTACTCAGGCCCTAGGGAAGACCCTGATGTTCTAGTCTAAGATCTTCAAGAGACTTAGCCGTTGTATTTGGAGCTGAGGAGACAAAAGCATGTCCCAAGCCAGGCTGTTGGGGGCCATCCCTGGGAAGTGCCTCTTGTCACACTGCTAGGCTGCTGTTAAGGAACCAAACAATATGAGAAATTGTTATGCCAGAGGCTGTAACCCCTGAGCACACCAACTTGCCTCCCCCCAATGGTAGTCTAGGAGTGGTGCCCTTCCTTCTCAGCAACGCCTCAAGCCTTTTTGGTGACCCATCCCCTCCCTCTCTTCTTCAAGAGTTAACAGTGAGAAAGCAACCACAGCAGGAGGTTCTAGTCCCCAAGCAGCCTTGGTTTCTCCCAGGAAAATTTCAGTATGGGAGGAGGCAGCTGAGGGAGGGCTCTGGAGATCCTTTGCCTACACAGATGGCGCTTAACAAAAATGGACAGGTAAACTAATGACCACTATGAAAACTGCACTGAAGGTTCACTTCATTTGGGTTTAGGGACCAGGACATAATGGTAACACACTTCAGCTCCCCTTGTTGGGTCATCTCGCAGGACCCCAAATAGAGATCATTTTCCTCCTTTCCTTGTATGTCCTGACAATTCTTTTACAGTAAAGACTACATCTCTGGTCTCTCAAAGGTGGACATTTCCTTCACGCTCCCCCTCTATGGAACACAGATCTGTCTGGTGATGGCCCATGGCTGACCCTCCAGGGAGCCCAACAAGCCATTATTTACAGCTACTATGTTCCTGTTCGGCTACAATGGGCCTTGGGCAACACATGCCGGGTTTACCAGATCTCCAGTTATGACTGTGGCTAAGCTGCCTTGTACAGAGATTGTACACCTTCACATCAACAGCCCTCATTAGATGAGGCTTCTCTAACTGGCCCCAAGGGGAGGGGGCATGTGTTCCTTTTGCCTGCTACCTGGAAGGTAGAGTGGAGGGAGGATGAGAATGTGCCCCCAAAGCCTGCTGATGTGCAAAACTTGAACTTATTCTTGTTTTACTGCTACAAGTGGGAGGTTTGCATTGTACATCACCTACCCCATGTGGGAAAGTAAGACACCCCTCCACCAAGCTGTGAGTAAAATGGATTTTGCTGAAAGATGACTGACATACTTATTTATCTTGGGACATCAGGCATGTCCCATTCCTGTTCTAGAGCTACTGGCCCTAGGACCTCCAGAAGGGATCTCTGGGTAAAGCCAGACTTCGGAGTAGTGCTTCTACACTGCTGTTTCTGGTCCTTTCTCAAGAGCTTTTACGGAGTGGCCCTTGGAACAGTGCTATAGAAGAACAGAGTGAGAGACAGACCCACAGAATCATCTTTGTGAGCATGTGGTTACCACATTCATCCCCAAAGAATAAAATCCACGAGGGAGGGGAGAAAACTCCCAAAGAACCTTCCTTCCAAGCGCGCTTATAGGCACTAAATCAAATCACGTGCCCCATCCAATCCCGTGTTCCACACCAGCCTCTGGGGTGCTGTGAGCCCCGACTGCCCACAGAAAACCACCCTCGCTCCAGCCCTTACTTCTCCAGTCTGACAGTCTTCTCCATCCTCAGTTCACTTGCACCGCTGCTTCCATCTTACCCCTGGGTACTGCAGGCAGCTTTAAATTCTTTCCGGAACAAAGCAACAAAGGAAGAACATGCAGGAAAGGCAGGCGGTCACTGGGCGTACTCAGGGCAGAGGCACTGCCTGTCTGCACCATTTAATGCTTCACAAAATTGCTCGAGTCGGGTAATAGCCCAGCTCTTGCTGGGGAGCATCCTCCCCATGCCTCCCTGGATTGCAAAAGGGCTCAGTCCTGTATGGAAAGGACACACGCAAACGAAATCATCATGCATTTTACCAGTGTATGTTTTCTTCTGTTCTCCGAAGATGGATTTTATTTATGAGATACGCAACTTTTAGTGCCTTGAGTACTGCTCAGAAACTGAAAGGCTTAGGAGTTACAGCACCTACAGTGACAGGCACAACCCAGCACACGTCATATACTAACGTACTGGCTTATTACTGTTAACCAAGCTTCTACCTACTGAAGTACAAGCTCGACACCTTCGTGTCCACTCACACCCCAAGAGAGCCTGAATGGAACCAAGGCTCTTTTCTCTTCCTTTCCCAAAGTCAGTCTACTTTTGATTCATATAAGTTTAAATTCTAAATTGTCTGTTTAAATTTTAAACCTGTATCAATCCTTCAAGAGTGAATGTTGGAGTAGAAACTGATGTGAATTTTCCAGATAGCAATTTGGCAATAAACATCATAAGTGCACTAAAAATGCTTGTTGTGGTTCCACATCTGAGATTTTATCTGCCGAAAAGGACTGAAATACTGATTACTAATACACAAAATATGGGTGGTGTACAAAGAGGTTCGTTTCCTGTAAAAGAGGCAGGAGATGAAAATGATCTAAACAGCCAACAGTAGAGGAACTATTCATGCAAACAGCAATCACACAATGTATTATTCTGTCGTTATTGGTAATGTTGTACACATGGCAATTGAACTATGTGAGGAAAGTATTCTTGATGAAAGAGTAATTAGAAAAAGTATGAAACAGGGGCTGGGGATTTAGCTCAGCGGCAAAGCGCCTGCCTGGCAAGCGCAAGGTCGTGAGTTTGGTTACTAGTACTGGAGAAAAAAAACAAAAAAAAAAAAGAAAAAGTATGAAACAGAACTGCAGTACAGTCTGATCTCAAGTACCATACACAGATACCTACAAACACACACCTGCAGGAAATGGATAAAACAAACCAAATGCAAGATTATCAGTAGTCTTTATTTTGTTACTCATACGCGCTCCATTCCCTGTTCAGCAATGAACCAGTTTCCACTTGTATGATGAGTAACTGAAATAAAAGTTACACTTAAAAACAGGAAGGCTGAGGGCGTAGCTCACCAGCAGAGCACTTGCTTGTGTACCTCAACGCCTTGAGTTCAGTCCTCAGCATGGGCTGTGTGTGTGTGTGTGTGCGCGCGCACGGCGTGCAGAAATTCACCACAAAGCACGTCATTGATTACAATGTATTCTTCCTTTTTATTAAATTATAAAACTGACGGCCATGAATACACACACTTGTGGAAGTAAAATGCTCTTCTCTACTATCTTCTGTTGTGGAGCACATGACTTTAAACAAGTAAGTTCCCATACCAACTTCTTGGCCTTCAAGTTTTTTAGCACTTTACAGCCAAATTACCAAGGATAGCTATTATATGTACAATCAGAATTTATAGAAAATATTACAAAGATGAACACTTTGAAAAGATGACACAGTGCAGGGAAAAACCATAGCTATTAAACTGGTATAAAAAATGTAGCCAAGATAAAGTTTTAGTCCATTATGGCTTTGCATAAAGCTTTAAGGAAGAATTTAAGACAGTTCTTATCAAAGGCACTTTATAGTAAAATACTTTAAATTTAAATTTAGTTTGATCGAACAGTGTATTTTATTCCTTTTTTTCACATTCAGCCTCAAGCCGTCCTTGAGTTATTGCTTCTTAATATACATATAAAAAACACACCGACAGCATTAATACAGATTTTGGTTCACTGAAGCAAGTAACAGTATCTGACTGCAGTGTTCCTCTCAATTCTGAGCACAAAGCCATAATAAACTTCTCCACCCTGGTTCCACAGAGTCTTAGTATGCTGGCTGGCACCTGGGGCCCCCAGGAGAACCCGCATTTGGTTCCCACCACACCCAGTGCGTTTCTGCCGTGGAAGAATGATCCCAGTGCCTCCCAGGAGCGTCTGATGGGCCCAGAAAGTCCACGTTCAGACGCTACAATTCGGTGTCCCGGTACCTGGCGGGCTGGGCGTAGTAACTGCGCTTTGAGTGCTCTGCCAGCTGCTGGCGGTACTCCTCCTCCTCTGCGTCACTTCCGTAACTTCCTTGCATATTCTGAGAGAGTCTGGAGGGGCCTTTCTGCGGCTCGGGGGGTCTGGAACTAACAAAGGGAGGAGTTACACACATCCTCAGGATGTCACAACCTCCAGCTGCCCATGCAGGCGAAACGATGAGCTCAGCAGGCGACGCCGAGGCTGATCGCTACTGACGTCCGCGCACACAGTGCCAAGTGACCAGGGCACTCTAAGTCCTGCTCCTGGTCCACAAGGGGTGGGGGGGATAAGAAACAGGTTAAGGCCAACGCCTACTGGAGCTGTGGGTGACAAAGCCGGCCAGTTGATGCCTAAGCTAAGAATTGGACAGAGGGCGCCATCTCCACCCCCAAGCTCCCTGGGGACACCGAGGGAGCGAGCGAGCGTTCAGCCAGAGTCAATTATACCAAGCCCTCCTTGCTGCCATAGACAACCTCACCAACTGTGGTACTCTGCAGTTGGTAAAAAAAAATTGTGGCTGGTTTTCTATTGCCATAAAACAAAACTACCTCCAGTCACAGTTGCTATAAAAAATATTATTTATTTATTCTTTTCCTTTTCTCAGAAGCAGCAAAAAAATCCAATGTAAAACTTCAACAGAAAGACGCTGGGGTAATTCCTACTGCCCGTGTGGCACTTCACATAGACAGCATCAGTTGTGGCTTGTAGCTAGATGTCCCAAAGCCTCGTGTGGTCACAGGTGGGGCTTGTGGAGGTGGGTGGATCTCGGGTGTGTGATGACAGGATTAAGGATGTGATGCTGGGATTATCAGCACCATGCTAGGATTAAGGGTGCCTCACCCTGCGTGTGCTACCCACTGTAAGGGCTGGCAGCCTGGACAGGACATAAGGGACAGAAAGGGGGCTGCCGCTGTCACTTGCTGCTGTTGCTTCTTCCCTGCTTTGCTACCTATGGCCTGCCCTGCTTGCCAGGGGCTAGTTCTCCTCTTTGTTGACCCTCTGCTACGCCACTGTGCCTTGTAGCTGACTCTGGACTGAGACCTCTACAAACTGTACTGAAATAAACCTTTCCTCTAACTTTGGGTGTCAGCTGCTTTGTCTCTGCAACAAGGAACGTGACTAAGCATCTTACCGACACTATTAGGAACTCACCTCCCTGCGCTCAGGGAGGGCCCTGTTAGGGCCGCCGTTGGCCCTAGTCTCAGACCTTCCCAGGGGACACGCTACAGAGTGACGTGACGCACTCAGCTCGTAGCCCCACTGATGAGCTTCCCCCCCACCCTACCAACACTACTAATAGCTTGTTAGAATCCCTTCAGACCAGGGTCAGCACAGCCCGCCTGACTCTGCTGGGTGACGCAAAGGAATTAAGGACCTGCGTGAAGAGCCACAGACAACAGCGACAAAACGGGTCTAAACCCTAGAATTTCCTCATGTGCTACCCTAACGCAGTGTAACGTGACCGTGCTCCAACTGTGCTGGTATCAAAGGGGACCAGGTACACAAACATCATCACCAAGAATTTGACTCTTTAGTCTTTACAATTAAATTTGAGGGACTAGGTAAGGTAAACAGTTGACCAAAAAGAAAACAAATCCTCTTGCTGTTCTAAAACCTAGGTAGAGCAATTTCTTTCCTCAAGTCCACGTGTTAGAGAAGCCCCCTCTCTGCACCTACCCTGCTGGGAAGCCCTTACCTCGTGTGCTGCAGCAGGCCGGCATCTGGCTTGGGGCTTTTGATTGGAACTGCATAGAGACTAGGATGCTTCTGAGCAATTTCAATCTGCAGCGTTAGGAAAAAAGGACGGGAAGGAAACAGTGAGCCACAGGCATAGTTGTTTTATTTTCCTACTGGTTCCCTGCGGGCCCATCCCTTCTGCCGTCCTACTTTCCTACTCTAATTTGAGAAAACGGAAAATACACAACTCTAGTTTTCATGGTTGTATGTGGTACCTTGTGGTATACGGCAAGAGAGAAAATGTTTGAAGGACATGGAATCTTTATAAATGCTGTAACATGCATGAACTTTGTGGCCATCACAAAAAGCAAAACAGGCCAGTCACAAAAAGAACAAATATTGTATAGTTCCACTTACATAAGGGTCCTACCTTGTCACACCCCCAAGTCAAATGGTAGCTGCCAAGGGCTGGAGGGAGGAGGGAACAATGGGTGCTAGTGCAGGAGGGGCAGGGCTTCGCTTTGCGGAGGATGGAAAGTTCTACACAGGGATGGTGCTGACAGTGGCACAGCAATGTGAAAGTACTTAATGTCACTGAACTGTGCATGTGAAAGGGTAAAATTTATATTAGGCATATTTTAATCACAATAAAAAAATACAAAAAGTGCTCAGAAGCACTATTGTGACATACGTCAATGACGACAGCCCCTCCCTTCTGGGAAGCGGAATATGTTCGAGAAAGAGTCTCTTTATGTCGGAAAGAGGGTCTCTCTATGTTGCCCAGGCTGGCATCAGATTCCTGGGTTCCACGGATCCTCCTGCCTCGGCTTTCTGAGTAGCTGGGATTCCAGGCATGTGCCATCATGCCCAGCTTCACTGAAATTCTCCTTTGGTGTTGAAAGGTTGTATGTGTGCACAAAACAAAAATTCAAACAGCTCAAAATGTAAAATCCATGGGCCCTTTCATTTTAGCACCACAATATGTTCAACCCAGTTACCAAACAGGCAGGATAAGCATCCTAGCTAAAATTACTTCTGAGTGGCACTGACTAACCACCATACTCCTCCATTCCAACCCCAGACACAGAATGAACAGCAGGACAGCAGAACCTTACTCTTATTCTTGTTCAGGAAGAAAGAAGCTGTGCAGGCTGGCGACCTGGAAGTGATGCACACAGGGCTGTGCACGTTAACCTCCGTTACTGCTTTGGCAGTGGAAAAGGACCGTGCACCGTTATACTGAAATCAAACCTATTTAAACTCTTACTTCGACACACTAAGATCCTCTGGTGGCCTGACAGCAATTACCTGTGCATTCTGTGCTTCCTGGAGCTCCTGCATCCTCTGTAGTCTTGCCTTATGATCCATCTTCTCAAATATTTTGACTTTGCCCAGGACCGATTTGGGAGTGTCCTCTTGCTCCTCGATGCTCTCCCCGACCTCCTCACTCTCAGGGGGAGGGACAGGGACAGGGACAGGGACAGAGGGCTTCTGGAGGGATCGTCCAAAGGAGGGTTTCACCGCAACAGGGGGAGGACAACCTCTGGCTGCTGTCCTGGGAATTTCATCGCCACCCGCAGCAGAGGGGTTTGACTTGTATTCCTGGGATTTGGAGAAGTCATAGGATTCTTCTTTGTTCTGGGGTTTTGTCTATAAAGAACAATGACTTTTTTTTTAACCTTGGGCTTTCAGTTATTTTCAAATCTACATTAGTGATTTAATACATTCCATTTCCTGATCAGTTTCCAAAGATGCTGGATAAATATCATTCTGACGAAGAATCAAAGATGGAGGGCAAACAGCCACTGCTTGGGCATGCTGAGCCTGATTTCCTTCCTAGCAAAGAGGATCAAGAGCTCTCAAAAACCAAGAGAGCGCTGGAAGTGCTGTCATTGCCAGCAGTACATTAGACCTTGAGTCATTTTGTACTGGAGACTAGAATTTTGGGGAAAACCTCAGAACAAATCAGCTTTAGGACTGAGAGAATGGCTTCAGAGGTTATGCTGCAGTAAGGGTGTGCGCCCCGGCCAGAGAAGACACCTATGCTCGGCCAGAGGAGAATGAGCCTGCTCACAGGCTGGGAGGGCAGCGCAGCATGTAAAAGCCTTTTCTCCTTCACACTTTTTCTAGCCCTGCTTGCAAATTTTCACTGCTACATTGCACAAGCTCACTAATTACTCCTGACAGCGCATATAATCGATTACTGCTTTCTTCTCATCCAAATTACTGAGCTAAAGAGAGGCATTTCTTTGGAGTATAAGGAAAAGCCTACACTTACAGCTTTGATTCCAATGGGTGATAGAAGAATCATATGACATAACCCCCTTGGGTCCTTAGGCTGACCCTATTCTGGGTAACAGATAAATTAAGTTGCTTTCATAATGAGAGACATTTTAAAGAATAATAATTTTTGTCCTCTTTAGTAATCACCAGTAAGGATTTTCTGATGCATCTAATTCAGATTGTGGGTAGAAATCTTGGACAGAAAAAGAAAAATAGATTCTGAGATTGGTGATTCTGGGCATGCAGCATTTGTCAAATGTTTTCTACAAGAAAGTGAATAAAATAAACTCTAAGAGTCCTAAAATTATACACTCTCCTTCTACTGCCCTTATCTTTTTGCCTTTCTGTAATTTTAGGTTCACTCAAGGCTCAAAAGACAGGCTCTCACAGAGAGCACAGGGAACCCAAACCATAATCCAATATCACTGTGCTTGGTCCTCCTGGGCAACCTAGGGGCTCAAGCCACCTGTGTCCTCCTCCTTCCCATCCTGAGGCTTCCGGACCACATACCTTGGGCGGCTCTGGCTTGAATGCTGGGGGTGGGCTACTGTCCCTAAGTTGATCTCTGCTAGCAGCCCTCCTCATCTGAGCTGGTGGCTCTGGGCTGAGTTTCCTTATGTTCTACAAAACATAAAGGTTCATTTACAACAAGAAATCTGAGCAGAGAGAAGAGAGCACTCGTCTGCTTTGCTGGAGTTCTGCAAACTTGTAAGAGTCCAGAGTGGAGGTGCTGAGTTAAGGCTCCTTCACCAACAAGGCAGACAGCAGCCATCCTAAGCAAATCCTAAGCAAAGGCTTAGGACATATCTTCTAGAACAGAATGCATCTAATGTAGCAGGGTCTACCTTTAAAGTTCAATTTAAAAACAAAACCAAAAAACCCTTCTAGAGTCTAAAATTTCTCTGCCATTAAGAACTATTAACATTTCTAAGCATCTGTCTCTGTGGACCTTTAGGAGTTAATTTATTTGTATCTAGCACTATATACTAATTCTTTATTTTTCTGTGGGTGGTTTTCCTCCTCCATCTTTTTGGTTTTGGTATTTATATTTCATTAAGAAAAATAGTCACTGAATTAATTAAATTGCTAGTGGGAAGTCCACAGCAATAATTATCCACATATATTTGGATAATCCCATCTACAAAGTTCATTATTCCAATGTTCTCTAACGTGCAAACAATAAACCGCTAACTGTCGATGTAATTTCTAGGACCACACAGGCTGTGAATTGACATGGTACTGGACGCACAGTACATGTGATTGCATGCATACTTGATCATAAAGTCAATCACAAAATTGAAATACAAGAGAGAAGGAAACTGATGGGGAAACACTCGGGAGCTTCAGCAAGATTAGAAGGTTAAAGGCAGGGTGGAGAAGAAAAGCAAGGACTCCTAAGAGTACAGAGAGAGACCTAATCAAAGGTTACAAGTAAATACAGTCATGTCATATATATAAAACTGAACCTTTCGTTTGTAATTTGGACAGCTGGTGCTAATCGTCATTTTGTTTACCCATCATGCCTGAGGGCAGGGGAGTGCTGATCGCTAGGTCTCTTTCTGGCCCCACTTTCCCATGGCGCGTTGCTACGACTTAGGCTCCAACTCAGAGTGAAGGCTCCCTGGCTGTCACCTGCTAACCCTTAGGAATCCCTTCACAGCACCCTGAGTTAATATTTATCCAAAAGAATCAAGTGAAACACCAGAACCTCCTTCTCCTGCCCTGGGCCTCGCAGCCTGTGCCATGCCTCCCCTCACCTCCTCATGCTGCACCGGCTCCGAGGAGCGGGTGATGGAAGACACCAGCGGCTCCTCGGCTGGCTCATCCAGCTCATTGTCAGTGTAGGCACCTCCTTCGCCATCCGTGTCTTCAAAGTCACTGATGAGGCGGCTGTCGCAACTCAGATAGTCCGCGCCCAAGGCGGTTAAGTAGGACATGTGGTCGTCGGGGTCATCATCCATCCCTTCAATCTAGAGGAATTTGTGTTGCACCGTCAGTAGGGTCTGTCATGGCCCCTGGGAGTGGGACTCAAAAAAACTCCCAAGGGCGTGGCCAAGTGTCCGAAACCTTGACATGTGCTAGATAGGGAGGATACCTTTAGTTTTCTGAAATCACCTGGCTTTGATCCAGTACAGACACTACACTAATTTTTGTGGAGGGACACAAATCAGGTAGGGACTCTCTAGCCTGTCACTGCTACCATCCATTTAATATTCCACACCTGATCCATGCTTTCACTACTTGTGGCGTTTTTCTTCCATAATCCTCCAGCCTTTTCTCTTAGTACCTGTCTCTTAAGAATAAATGCCCACTGCCTTGTGCTATGCACATACCCACTCATCTACAAGATTCTCAGGTCGGTGAGGGTAGAAGCTTTGCCCTGATTACTTGTCCTCCCCAAGGAAGCTAGCACAAAGCCTTCCAGACTTGTCAGCACTTGGTGAGTGCCAGACACCTGGACTAACCATTCAGCTCCCAGAAAGCAAGACTATCAATTCTATAACAGAATCATCACAATAAAAGCTCACAAACGACCTCAATTCGGTTGGAGCACAGGACAGCAGCACCAAAGGAACCAGATTCTGTAACGTCTCACCTTCTTCCCTACAGCACAGCAGTGTGTAAACTATCTCTATCGATGAGACGCTTTCCACTGTTAGAGGCGTAGATGCTCTTATATCACCTAATGAAACTATCACAACACTCCATTCCTGCCAACCTCTTTTCTAAAGCAAACAGTCCCAATTCCATTAGCTCTTCTTTTTTGTATTAACTGTATTCTCCATGGCCCTCAGCCTTGCCTCTCATCTCCACTCCAAGTTTCCCATAATCTTAGTAAGCTGTGGAGCTCAGGACAAGATCTTGTAAGCTCTGATTAGTGTACTTGGAATACAATACTAGTTACTACGTTAAAGTAAAAGGGAAGTGAATGTAGGATTGCATTCATCACATTCTGCTTTTTTTTTCAAAGTGTCTTCATTTTATCACTTTGTTGGAAAATTTATAAAATTTCAGACTTGATGAATACATACGTTAGTATCACTTCCTACATTCACTGCCCTCTTGAGAAAAGATTCGGCACACGGACTCTCACCTCACAGCAGCATATCTAGGCCACATACCTTTCCTTCAGAGACCCACACTGCTTGTCCTTGCTGATTCTGAATGGTGTCTTTCAAGCTGCCAAACCAGCTATCATTGGCTGAATTTAGGTTGACTGTAGCTATAGAAATGTAAACAAAAAGCTTTGCATCAATTTCTAGAGCAATGTTTATTCAGGAAGCTTCTTGACATGACGTACAGTGGACCCTTGAGTTATGACTGATCTGACATATAAACAACTGCAATTATAACTGGAATTTTAGTTTTAACGGATGACCAAAGTCTTGAGTAATGACCAGAAATCCGGCTGCTTGTGCTTCTAGATGGTCTCAGACACAGATTTAACTGTAAGGAGGTCTGGAAGGAACATTACACCATCCTTTCCTATATGGAGTTAATTGAGAAATCCTGGATCAATGTCTCTCTTAGGATACCTGAGCTCTGCCCATGTACAGGGGAGAGACTTTGAAGGCTGTATAGAGGAGCCTGAGCTTTCAATTAACAACCTGAGAACAAGCGGCCCTCAGGAATGAATTGAGATTGTAAGTAAAGGGTTCACTGTATTTTTTGTCATATTTGAGTTAGTACTAAATCCTTGTAGTTGAACATAACTAAAGACCTAGCTGTTGTAGTTTACATTATAGACAGAAGTGATAGCTAAAAATGCGTTTATTTTCAGAATATCAATTTTTCAGAAAAGCTACCTTCAAAAAGTGTATTTTTAAAAGAGCATGTTTTCAGTAGCATACATAAATTTTTTAAAAGTACCACATTTTAAAGATGACTATGTAGATATGCAGACTGTAAGTAAGAAAAAAGCACTAGCATATGATTAGCTATCTCTAATAAAACTA